AATGCTTAAGACGGCCACGCCATCGACCAACGACAAAAATCCCTTTTCTCTTTTGTCAGATGACGAGACTGACTCTGACTTGGCTGAGGAGGGAACTTCTTTCTGTTTTTCAGCACGGAAACGAAAACGCATCCGTTCGCGGAAAGTTGAGAATGAAGAACCCCAAATCAGCTTGCCCAAATCAAGGAGTGGTGGAAAAAAGGAAGTTTCTACTCCTCCTGGATTCAGAAGAACTGACTATACCCAGGATTTTCCACCTCTCCCGGGGACATCCAAAACCCCTGATGTCCCATTTTTAAGAACAGAAGCCCCTTCTTCATCTGGGTTGTTCTCATTTGATAAAATTGTGGACGATATTCTCAAGTACCTGAATATTTCTGATCCTCTCAAAAGCATTGTTCTGGCAATGCTTCCTACTGTGAAGACCCTCTTGAAGCAATTGACATTGAAGTGGCCCCTCATTGCAGCAATCATTTCCTTCGATGGATAATTTTCCAAACGAGGTCGGGGATTTGATCACTATTCTACAGTGGAATTGTCGAAGTCTTATTCCTAAATTAGACTCTTTTAAGTTTTTAGTTCACAATAATGATTGTGATGCATTTGCTCTTTGTGAAACTTGGCTCTCTTCAGATATAGATCTTCCTTTTTATGATTTTAACATTATTCGACTGGATCGTGAGGATTCGCGTGGAGGAGGGGTACTTTTGGGGATCAAAAAGTGCCATTCTTTCTATAGAGTGAATCTTCCACAATTTACAGGTATTGAAGTTGTCGCATGTCAGGCTATTATTAAAGGTAAGAGCCTTTGTATTGCTTCTGTTTATATTCCTCCTAGAGCCGTTGTTAATCGAAAACAACTTTCAGATATATGTTCAGTACTTCCTGCTCCACGGTTGATTATGGGAGATTTTAATTCCCACGGTACAGGCTGGGGGGAACTGTATGATGACAACCGTTCTACTTTTATATATGACCTCTGTGATAACTTCAATATGACAATTCTTAACAATGGAGAAGTAACACGTTTGGCTGGACCATCTTCGAATGGAAGTAAATTAGACCTCACACTTTGCTCTAACTCATTATCGTTGGATTGCACGTGGAATGTGATCCAGGATCCCCACGGTAGTGATCACTTGCCGATCAAAATTTCGATTGCCAGTGGGTTCAATCCGTCGGAATCCGTTAACGTCCCGTACGATCTTACCCGTAATATCGATTGGACAAAGTTCAAGAATGTGATAGAAGATGCCCTAACGTCGGTAGAAGGGCTTCCACCGTTGGAGGAATATAACTTCCTCTCCAATCTGATCTTGGACAGCGCGCTCCAAGCTCAAACTCGGCCGGTTCCAGGAACGTCTTTCCGTAGGAAACCTCCTTCCCCTTGGTGGGACCAGCAATGCACTGAGGTTTATCGTAAAAAGTCCGACGCGTTTAAGCTTTTCCGGAAACGTGGAACACCCGTGTATTTCGAAGCGTACTCGGCTCTTGAACGCGAACTCAAGAGCCTCATCAAAGCCAAGAAACGCGGATACTGGCGGCAATTCGTGGACGGATTATCGCGCGAAACGTCGATGAATACGCTTTGGAACGCGGCGCGAAGGATGCGTAACCGGTCTTCAAACAACGAGAGCGAGGAGTACTCCGATAGTTGGATTCTCAAGTTCGCGCGAAAAGTATGTCCTGATTCCGTGCCGGCACAGATGATTCCTCGCGGAACGACGAATTCTGTAGACGAGATCAGCCAGCCTTTTTCAATGCTGGAACTCTCACTCGCGCTTCTTTCGTGTGGCAGTTCGGCTCCGGGGGCTGATAGAATCAAGTTCAACTTGTTGAAGAACCTCCCAGACGTCGCTAAGAGGCGCATGTTGAACTTGTTTTGTCAGTTCCTGGAGCTCAATATTGTTCCGGATGATTGGAGGCAAGTGAGAGTTATAGCCATTAAAAAGCCTGGAAAACCCGCATCAGATCATAACTCGTATCGTCCCATCGCGATGTTATCGTGCATTCGAAAATTGTTGGAGAAAATGATCCTTTTTCGCTTGGACAAATGGGTTGAGACGAACCACCTACTCTCAGATACTCAATTTGGATTCCGTAGGGGCAAGGGAACGAACGACTGTCTCGCGTTGCTTTCCACAGAAATTCAGTTGGCTTTTGCTAAAAAAGAGCAAATGGCTTCTGTATTCTTGGATATCAAGGGGGCTTTTGATTCAGTTTCCGTTGAAGTCCTTTCAGACAAACTCCACGCTTGTGGCCTTTCTCCATTAATAAATAACTTTTTGTACAATTTGCTGTCAGAGAAACATATGAGCTTTTCTCATGGAAACTCTACAGCTTCTCGATTTAGTTACATGGGTCTCCCCCAGGGCTCATGTTTAAGCCCCCTTTTGTATAATTTCTACGTCAGAGAAATTGACAATTGTCTAAGTGACAACTGCACGTTGAGACAACTTGCAGATGACGGCGTAGTGTCTATGACAGGGCCCAAAGGGGTCGACCTGCAAGGACCCTTACAGGATACCTTAGACAATTTGTCTACTTGGGCTATTCAGCTAGGTATCGAATTCTCCACGGAGAAAACTGAGTTGGTCGTTTTTTCTAGGAAGCATAGCCCAGCACAACCAAAGCTTCAACTTTTGGGTAAACCGATCACTCATTCTATGTCCTTCAAATATCTTGGGGTCTGGTTCGATTCAAAATGCACCTGGAGATCCCACATTGAGTATCTGAGACGAAAATGCCAACAAAGGATAAATTTTCTCCGAACAATTACCGGAACGTGGTGGGGAGCCCATCCGCAAGATCTTCTAACGTTGTACCGGACAACGATTTTATCGGTTTTAGAATACGGTAGTTTTTGTTTCCAGTCGGCGGCTAAAACTCACATCATCAAACTGGAACGTATCCAGTATCGTTGTCTTCGTATCGCGTTAGGATGCATGCACTCGACTCATACGATGAGTCTAGAAGTGTTGGCGGGCATGTTGCCACTATCGGATCGGTTCTCGGAATTGTCCCTCAGGCTCCTCACCCGTTGCGAAGTTATGAACCCACTGGTAATCGAAAACTTTGAAAAGCTTCTTGAGCTGAACCCTCAAACTCGTTTTATGTCATTGTACTACGTGTACATAACACAGGATGTCAGCCCTTCACAGCATAATCCTCATCGTGTATGCTTCTCCGACTTCGGCAATTCAGTTAGTTTTGATTTATCTATGACGCGGGAGATTCGTGGGATCCCAGAACATCATCGTTCCATGATTGTTCCGTCAATTTACGCTGCAAAGTTTGGCCAAGTTGATTCCGCAAGATCGTTCTTCACAGATGGATCACTAATAGAGTCGTTCGCTGGTTTTGGTATTTTTAACGAATTTCATAGCGCCTCTCGAATGCTTCAAGCTCCTTGTTCCGTATATGTTGCTGAGCTGGCGGCAATACATTATACGCTAGAAACGATCGCCTCACTTCCACCAGATCACTATTTTATTTTTACGGATAGTCTCAGTTCTGTCGAGGCTATTCGCTCTATGAGGCCGGTAAAGCACTCCTCGTATTTTCTCATGAAAATACGAGAGCTTTTAAGTGCTTTATCTTTAAGATCTTTTGTCATCACCTTTGCATGGGTCCCATCTCATTGCTCGATTCCGGGCAATGAGATGGCTGACTCACTTGCTAAGGTGGGCGCTATGGAAGGCGATATTTACGATCGACAAATCGCCTACGATGAATTTTTCTTCATTTATCGTCAACAGTCACTCGTCAGCTGGCAGAATAAGTGGAGTGAAGGGAGTTTGGGACGATGGCTATATTCGATCATCCCTAAGGTGTCGAAGAGTTCTTGGTTCAAGGGGTTGGATGTGGGTCGAGACTTCATTCGTATGATGTCTCGCCTCATGTCCAATCACTATTCGTTAAACGCTCACTTGTTCCGTGTTGGGCTGAAGGACAGCAATCTCTGTGAATGTGGACAAGGTTACCAGGACGCAGATCACATTATTTGGTCTTGTGCTGAGCATCGCGGAGTCAGATCTGAACTGTACGATTCCCTTCGGGCTCGAGGTAGACAACCTAATGTTCCAGTTCGGGATATTTTGGCTAGACGCGATCTGGAGTTTATGAAACTCATATATGTTTACTTTAAGAATATTAACATTAGATTGTAAGTTTTATTAACCTTGTGTTTAGTTTGTATTTTGTACGTGGGGGTTTTTTTTTATGTTTGTTTTCAAGATGAATAGAAATTAGTTCATGTTTTAGGATTAATTAAATATTTGTATCGTAAACCACATTTCAAACCTCCCTCTCCCTTTTCCCATCCAAAAAAAATTGTAAATCCCCACTAACCTCGAGACAACCGCGAGTATCCGGTCCAGCTCCTTTAACTTAAAATATAAGAAATCAATAATGTATAACAAAAATGATAACTCGGCTCTGTAAAGTTTATTCGATTGAGCCTGTACAAATAAATTAATTAAAAAAAAAAAAAGTCAGTTTCTCACTAAATGAGTTCAAATTTTGGGGGGCTCATCAGGGCCCAATTTGGAACCGTTTGAGCACTGTAGAGCGAAAATTTAAAATTTTGCATCAGTCTAGTGGCCAGGAATGCCTCCGATGTTAGCTCTGACACATGTTCATGTTCACCAACATGACACATGTTGGTGCGGCCATGTTCACTCGGGATTCAGGAAGATTCCCCATTAGTGGTTGGATCATCCTTGGCTTCATGCGGAAACATCTCACGCAATTATGGAGTACCTTGCGGATGATTTAACGGGCGTTGATGAGCCAAAATTTTTGACGAATTGCTGCCAATACTCCGGACTGGCCTTCTTGGAGTCGTTCTTCGTGAATTTTCTTGATAAGCAACTCCGTTACTCGGTTTTTTGGTGGAAGCATCAGTTGATGCTTGGCGTCAAAGGACAATTTCGAATTTTGTCTTCGTTATCCGTTGGTTCAGTTGACTTGAAGAACAGAAACAGGTCTTTCTTTGGATCCTACAGAAGTCCCAAAGCCTTGAATACTTCATTTGCGCTGGAGTCCTGGATGGGCACTAGGGTCTCTCGATTTCCTTCAGGAATTCCTTCAAGCACATCTTCTGAGTTGGAACACCACTTTCGAATTGGAAATCCACCTTTCAGCATCAACTCCTCCAAATCACGACGTAACTTCTTGGGTGACTCAATTGAATCCGAACCAGACAGAATGTCGTCCATATAGGAATCATTCAGGATAACTTCGGCCGCTTCCGGATAATCCTCACTCTCGTCACGGGCTTGCTGGATAAGCGATCCCACAGCGAGAAATGACCCCGCTGATGTACCGTAGGTAACGGTCAATAACTCCAAAACCTTCAGTGCTTCCGACAGGTGTCCTCGCCAGAAGATTCTCTGGTACCGAGTCTAGGAGGGATCGACGAGAATTTGTCGGTACATTTTGGATACGTCCACGGTGAAAAAAGGAAGGTATGGGTTCGAAAACGTAGTACGATGCTGAACAGGTCACTTTGGCTACTGGTTCCAGTCATTAGTACGTCATTCAGGGACAGTTCACTTGCTTTGACTGTTGCATCAAACACAATACGAAACTTTGTGCTGCTACTGGATGGCTTGAAGACACAGTGATGGGGCAGATAGTACGACTGTAGACAAGGAGGATCTTCTTCCTCCCTCACTTCATGGCAGTGACCCAACGATTGGTATTCGTCGATGAACTCCGCATACTGAGCCTTCAGGTCAGGATCTCGCGCCAATCTTTTCTCCAACAACAGGAATCGTTTCAACGTCAGGGATCTGGAACTTTTCAACTGGTCCACTGATTCACGGAATGGCAGCTGGACAACGAATCGTCCATCTTCATTACGACGATAAGTCCGTTGAAAGTGTTCTTCAAAACGTTCTTCTTCACTCGTCATCATTGCTGGTTCAGCGATTTCCTCTTGGTCGAAAAACCGCTACAAGCATGCCTCGAATCCATCGGTCACAGCAAGGTTGACACATACTGGAGAACCTTCTTGTGTTTCCTCGTACGAGCCAGCCACGACCCATCCGAACTGCGTTTCGTACAAGGTAGGCAGGTGGTCGGCAAGTTTGATTTGGCCTTGCTTCAGAATGTTGAAGAAATGTTCGGCACCAATCAGCATTTTCACTTCTCGTGGACGGTTGAATGAGGCATCGGCCAACATTACACCGGATGGAATATGCCAGGAATCCACTTTAACATTTGCGGACGGAATGGTTCCAGTCACCTTCGGTGTGACGAGACAATCAACATTGGCAGTGAAGTTGGTGTAGTTGGATGTCATTCTAACCACCGTTCGATGGCGTATCTGGGAACACGTACCTCCTACGCCGACTACAGGAACATTAGCTGGGAATTTCGGCAGTTTTAATTTCTTCACAACAGACTCCGACAACAAATTGAATTGTGATCCAGCAGTGCTCGAACCTGGTGAGTGTGGCCTCCTTTAGAACGAAGAATGACTATCGCTGTCATTAGGAACACCTGCTTGCTTGGCGAACGAAACACGCTGGAACAGGACGCATTCACAGGCTGCTCCTTAACTGCTGGTACTGGATCTACTTCGGCTGGCTTAGACGGCTCACTTGTTCTTACTTCAGGTTTCTCCCGTTGCTCAAAATGAGCTAGAGTGTGGTGCTTTTTGGAACACTTTCCGCAGGATTTATTGCTTGGACACGCTGCACTACGGTGGCTCTTCCTCAGGCAATTGAAGCACAGATTCGTCGCTTTCAGCGGAAAGTCGAGCATTTGAAATTCTAGTGCTGGCATATTCCGATGTCGCTGTTGCAGCATGCGACGACCTAGAAGGTCCACCTTTCGATGGAGGAGTCTTGGCGGTTGATACCTTAGATGCTGCGGTAGGAGTAGTGGTTTCACATCGGTCCAGAATCACGCACCGCTGCTTCAGGAATGCGATCATCTGCTCATACTCAGGAAGCTCGGACTGGTTGATGGAAGCTTCCCAGAGTTCACATGTGTGGTCGTCTAAGGCACGTGTCAGTAGTGTCACCACTAACAACTAAGACATTCCGGTTAAACGCTGGTTGAGCTTAACGAGATTGTTGACGTGACGGGTGCATTCATCTACCAGGTTGCTCAGATCCTTCGATGATTTCTTGAGAACCTTTTGCATATTCAGCAGGCCAAGGATGTGTCACTCGATGATCAATTGCTGGTTTCCAAAACGTTCTTCCAGGATTTCCCATGCTCGTGCATAATTATTGTTTTGCAGTGTTTCCAAGTCGATCACACCTGCCTTCAGCGAATTTTCCAAATGGTACAGTTTTACAGCGTCGGAATTGTTTGATCCCTGCGTCATGTCGTGAAACATGACCTTGAAGCGTGGCCATGATTCATAACGACCGTCGAAGGTTGGTAGAGGAGTACATTAAGACTGGGTGTGAATGATGACAGGTTGACTTGACGCCTGGTTCACTCTTGCTGATGTCGAAGGCACTGACACGGGCAGGGTTGCTCTGTTCTCCATCTCAATCATCTCGATTATCGTCTCTATCATGGCCAAGGTTTAATTGTAGAGGGCTTCGAATGCAATATACTTTTCCTCATGAGCATTGACGTTCTCCTTTTCCACGAAGGCGGCGATGGCATCGTGAATCTCGTTGTATTCTTGATAAATCACTTGCAGCTTCTTGGGGTAAACCCGCAATAAGGGAAGCAGTAGCCTCTTGTTCGCACTTTTCTTGCTGCAGTCAGGGAATTGAAGATCCGTGTGACCTTCGCCTTTACTTGACCATGCTTCTGGATCAACACCTTCACATCTTCCGAACTATCCATTTTCCGGCGTGGGGTGCGAGGTAACATCTCCTCACACGCGAAGGTTTCCGGTTACTCGGAAGGAATACTTCACACTTCGCAGGTTTTCTTGGCACCGTTCACGTTCGGACTACAATCGCAACGGTGGAACACACACTCACGAAATATCCACTCGATAGTCAAGCTGCGTCGTCGTGATTACCACTCAGTGTTCAAAACACATGACGCCCATCTGCCTCCAATTGCAAACAATACCAGATGGAACAGTACGTACCTCATGCTGAAATCGCTACTCAATCAGAACCCATTTTTCAATTTATTGAAAAGTAGCTTTCCGGAAACAGGTGACATTGAACTTCAAACAACAAACATTTATCTATATGATAAACTTAAACAGTAACTAATTTCAGATTTGAGTAGACACTGGCAGTTCATCGCTTATTTCTGCGAAGTGTTTGAGCCCGCGTTCCTGCTTAATTTAAAACTGCAACAATTTAATGTTCCTCTGTCAGAGTGTTATGCATGTTGGCTGTTATGCCAAGCACAGTCGTGCTTGCAAAACGTTTACTGGAGGTTCTTTAAAATGCGAGTGAAGAAATTGATCAGTTCCATGCAGTTAAAATCCTGTATTTACCTTGACCCAAGTTTAAATTTTCTTCGATCAAACGAATTTCAACAGACGACAAAGAAAAGATCCAGGTAATAATATTTATTTAATTTATTTAGTACCATTCATTCAACGTGTTTCTCATCGCGGTAGATACGAATCACCTGACTAATCCATTTTTTGAACTTCTGATGAACCTCCTGAACATGGTCATCCTTGATCTGGGCTGCTTGGGCGGAAGATGTACGCCCCGGAAGAGCGGTCCTTGAAGACAAAATTGTTACCAATTGCCCCTTCGTAGTAAAGGAAGCTCTGTTGCAATCGATGACGCTCTTGATCGAACTGAATCGTCCTCAGGAAACCGTGTTCGTCAAAGTTCAGTGAGAGGTAATCATTTCCAATGCTAACCGTTTGGTTCATAGTCACCGCAATCTGACGACTAGGAAATGTAGTACGATCGATAACCCATGGGTGGTATATCGTTGGCTCGGAATATCAACTCCTAAGAGGATTCAGAAGCTCGATAGGAAATCGAGATCGGTTATGTGATCTGATCTGCGACAAAAATAAAAAGTCTGTACTTTCTGCATGTCTGCAAATCTGGCATCTCTGGCTGGTACACCTCGCCCTGATGAATTTCAATGTTTGACATTTTTTCCCTCTGTTCGGGACATAACACCACTGCGACCAGTAATTTGATCTATTGTAGTATATCCCGAGTCCTTAGTTTAGTGCATGTCGTATTACTCCATCACTATTGAGAAATGATGAAGTATTCGGTTTTGATACAGTTGTCATTCTTGCCTTTATCGCAAGGAATCGATTCTAATTGAAAGGTCCCGCTATTTATACCCTTCGGACCGTTGGAACACCCTCCAAAGGCGCGCCCCTTTGTCAGTAAAAAGTGGATTCCTTAGCAACAAAATTAAGGTATGACACCGATAATGACCATGCATCAGAACCCTAGTCTTAACCACTTAGGGGACAACGAATAGAAGATTAGGAACCACGTAGATGAAAACTAACTAACTCATTTTTTTCCTTGTTTCAAGATCAGGTCCAGGCAACCCGAGGACTTATAACTATCAACAAGGCATAAACAGTAACAAGGATTGTTCCTTTGTGTTCTGTGTTGTGTTCTTTTGATTACTGAAAAATCCTGTTCCTCTAGTTTGAAGTCCGAACAGTCCAAGCCATTACCCATCGAAATATCCCGACATGGAAACAGCAAACCCTCCCAACCTAGGTAAGTCATCATACAGGGAAATGATTTATCAACCCCAGCACCAAATCATCTCTTACTATTCTATTTCGATCGAATCAGTCGTTCCTAAAAATCTACCGTTTGTAACTGCAGGTTCTCCCACACTCCTATGGCCTAAATTCCAGCTGCATCACGAAGGTCCGAATCTGCATTGGGCCCAGTACGATCTCGTACCCTTCGTTGCTCACGTTCTTCAAGTTTTCACTAGCCATCGCCGCAGCAGCCTTCTTCGTCGCAGTCTCGGTTCCATTCACCGATTGCAATGGGTTTACAATTTCCGCACGGTTTATGTGCTTCAAGTACGCCGGATCCGGTTTGAACTGGAACCGTTTGTTGTCCTCCTTCCATTGGTTGCCGGCAAGAGTCGTCTCGCGGATCTCCTCTATGCTGAACGAACGGAAAATGTCCTGCAGGTTAAAGCGAACCGGTTTCGAGTACATCGGATCTTCTTCCTTTTCCAGAAGATGCTCGAAGCGTACCAGGAGACTATTTTCCTTCCACGGTTCGAACGTCATCAGGTTGACGTTCAGCGGGAGGGAGAGCGATAGGGCGGAGTACTGAAACGAAATGATTAACTTTTGTTTTAAAATAGATCATTCGGTTAACTCACAATATTGTTGAAGCGTTTTTGCCAGTCCTCGTACTTGAAGTTGGTGACATCACTCAGGAACACCCAGTTTGGTAGCAGAACGTGATTTTGCAGGAAGCGTTCCCTAGCTTGCAAAGTAGGGCTACTAGTTTTCTTCGATCCAAATACCACGTAGTGTTTGCCTCGTGCTATCAAACCTCTTCCGAATGCCCGTTCGTCCAAAGCTTCTTCCACGCCGAAAGCATCGTCATGCAGCAGTCTCCTGTGAACCATCAGCTCCAACGAGCCGTCCTCCATACTGGATCCCCCCTGAGCACGATCGTTCAAAACAGCCAATCGAATATTCTCATCTTCCAAAGCGATCTTTGCCGTCACCGGATAGTAGTTTCCAGCTATCGGTTCTTCCAGATGAAGTTCCCACGTATCGCGATGATCTCTCTTCCTCTTAATCATTTCACGACCATTGGAATCCGTCCAGAACACACCATTGGACTGAGCAGCGGTGTAGAAGCGAGACACCACCTCCTTTCCAATGCGGTCCTGCACTGGAATAGGTCCCACCAACCATTCAAACTCCACGTGATTTTCATCGGCATAGATTCGAATCACTTGGCTGACCCAATCGTTGAAGACCTGATGGACCTCCTGAACCACATTGCCTCGGAATACCTTCAACTGAACGCTGTCGGTTATCACGTGATCCGTTCCATTGGGACGGAAGATGTACGCACCGGACGAACGGTTACTGAAAGCAACGTTGTTCCCGGTGGCGGCTTCGTAGTAGACGAAGGTCTGTCGCAAGCGATTCGTAACTCCATTAGCCGTGATCGTACTGAGGAACCCGTTGGTGTCAAAGCTAACGTTAAGGTACTTATTTCCGATGGTGACCTCCTCCGAGTGCCACTGTTTGTGAGGTTGGTCTGACTGTAGTTGAACTGTAGGATTCGAAGGGTTTTGTATGAAGTCATCTACGGTTTCGATAACTCGAGATACGAAGTAGGACTTGTAACCGAGCGGAGGAAGTTCGTTGGCTAGGAATACCAGTTCGTTGCTGGCGTTGCTGAAGCGATAGTTGAGGCTTTCGACGGTTTCAGGAATTGGGACCATTTGCGATGGCGTTTCCACTCCACGGTAGTCTTTGACGATGTACTTGTTTCCGGATACTGGCAGTCGAACGTACTGGTAACCGGAGTGGGCCAAAGGGTTGTACAACGTGACCATGAAGCTGTCCTTGGATTCGGTTATCTCACACTTGCTAATGTTCAGTAGGTGGCAAGTATCGAACTGGAAGGTGAAGTCCCGTTTGATGCCGTGGGAAAATTTCTTACCCAAACCCTTCTTCTGGGCAGGGTCAACCATTTGGTTCAGGACGACCTGGGTGTTTGCTGCGCAAGCTTCAATGGCTTGGTGCAGAATTCGAGAGTAATCGTTGGCCACGTGCTGTTTCTCGGTACCGGTAACTGCGTCATGGTGCTGCATGATGCCCATGGCTTCCCGTAGAAGGTTCAGATGTGGGTTGAAGTGGCCTTCTTTGACGGGAGCTAGGGCGGTCAGTTGCTTACAGACTTGCAGGAAGTGGTTTCCGACTCGCTCAAAGCGTTTGATGGTGGGGCGGGAGGTGAAGTATCCTGTCCAGAAGGCGTGCGGATCGGAGGAATACGGGAAGAAGTCATCGCTCTTGGTTGGCCAAGTTATGTCCGCGTCATGCAGGGCTTTCAAGTAGCACGACGGAGTCGAGTAGAACACGTTGACATTGGAACCGTTTGCCTGCAGAGCGTTGGTGTACCTGAAACGAGGAACTGGATTAGGCTGGTCTTACCCAAAACGATCAATGCAGTACTTGATAAGCTTATCTTGGTTCTTGAACCACATTTCAGCGTACTGATAGTGAAAGTCTTCACCCATCGTAAGCACTATGTTGTTAGTGCGGTAAGATGAGCTCATGTTCTTTACAATGGTTATGAACTGGTCAACCTGAAGGGGGTAAATTCCAAGTGTTATGTACAAGTACAAGCCAATGCTTGAGTTGACCAATTTCTGGGATTTTTTTTTTTGGTGAAATGCAAAGCTATTTACAAGGAGCTCATACCAAACCAAAAAGTAGCGACTTTACCTGATCAATTTGTCCAAGTTCTTGAAGTAAACGTTAGCATCCATATAGGTAAAGTCCCCACCCATAGTCAAGACAACGTTGTTGGTCCTATAGTGCTTGGATTGGAGTTCTACATAGTACAAAAACGTTTGCACCTTTAGATTCCAGAAATTGATCATTAGTTCTAAAAAATCAACCATTCAACTAGGTACGATCTCACCTTACTGTCCACATTGTTCTCCGCACTGTACGGATTATCGATGAACGGTTCATCCGAGCACAGTATATCGAAGCAGAATCCTGGAGGCGGTTGGTACATATTGTACAACACCCCAGTGAACAGATCCGCGTTTTCAAGGTTGGCACTCGATTGCCAGATCATTTCCGGATTCTTCGTCGACAAACGCTGCCTCTTATCCTCATAATCCAACCGTCCAAAGAAGTATCCATCGAAGCCCATCTGGGCAAAGATCGATGCCTGTTCCCTCGAATGTCCGAACGGATCAATCTGCCATCCAATCCGAGGTCTACCGCACTCCCCAAACGTATCGTTCAACAACCTCAAGCCCCACGTAAACTGATCAATGATACTCTGGTAGTGCGTAGTAGCCTCATCGTTCATACTCCAGGCTCCTCCGATGAACTCCAACCGGCCTTGATTGACCAGATCCCGGACCTTGTCCTGCAAATCCGGTGTCTGCTCGTTCCACCATTTGAAGAAGAATGCCGACTCGACGTAGATGAATCTCCTCGATGGATCCTTAAGCAGCGATTCAATCACTGAATCTAGGATGTACTGTACGCCCGCTTTCTGGATCAGGGTGCGACCTACAATCAAGTTGCTTTGTCTATAAAATCAACGCTTATCATTCAATCGATGGCAATACTTACTTCCGTAGTAGTATTGATCGACCGTCTTCAGCCAGCCGACATCATCGTGAGTGTGCGGTACCAGATGGACGTTCAGCATGTCTTTCTTGATCTCCGGACATGACTGCGAAGAAGAATGGAAACAGAATCAATTAACTGGCAGATGGCAATGAGCATAACGATACAAGTCGATCCATTGTCTTCGAACGGGTTATGAGTGTTTTCAATTCACTTTTGCTTTTATCGGTGCGGTACGGCACGGATGGAAACGGTTTTTTTTTTGCCACGATTGATGGGCGTATGTTTGTAAACATTATGGAAGCGGCGCTGTGAAGTACCCGCGCCGTTTGATTGAAGCAGATGTCGATGTTGGGAACCCGCATGGAATGCATAAAAAGTGCTGGATGAGGCAGTTTCATTATTGATCAAAGGAGCGCAAATGGGTTGACCGTGAATTTTTAATGGGGGCGAGCAGATGATAACCGGTCGGAGGGACGATGCTTTGTTGGGAAGTGCTTTGTAGTTGCTGAATGTGCCAATTTAGAAAATAATAAATGCACAACGTTTTGAAAATGCACCGGTTGAAAATGGCCCGGTAGAAAAGCAAATAGAAAAAAAAGGTTTAACAGGCAATCAATCCATTAATTTGAATATTATGTTATACAATAATATAAAACATGCATTTAGACAACGGCTCCTTTGAGAATATTGATGAATGGGAATTGGGAGTAATATCGACGGGTCAGGACTTTAAAAAAAATAAAGGGTTGTGTCCTAGACACGACCGCTGTATGACGTAGATCTACGCAAAACTGATGAAGGAATGGATGTAATGTCGGCCTGAATGCCCCTAATTTTCTCTCTGCCCCGTCCCATTCAGAAAAAAATGGCGGGAAATCCTGTCAGGGACGAAGCTTAGACAGTATTTTGTGTGCAGTTGTTGATAAGCCACGAACTGAATATCATCCAAATACAGAAACGGGTAAAATTGTTTACTTTACTAAATTGTAGTTTGTCAATTGTTATTTATCGAAAAAAAGTGATCGTCAAAACTCATGTCTTTTTATGGTTGTCATTATAGGGAGAGAGTGTGTTTTGTGACTCTGATGCCCTGCCCTGCTTACAGTGCTGGATACTTTTTTTGCACAGTGCTAGTACACTAGCGCTAGCAAATCCGCATAGATGTAAACACCACATTAACCGCTGACTTGCTCCTGATTGCTGCAGAACCCAGAGACACGCCGTTCGAACCCGTAATGAGCAGATGCACGACAGCAGCACTGTTTTATATCTTTTCAGGTTCAAGCAGAACAATGTGCAACCAAGTGGCATTCGATTATAACGGCTGGGTTTGGAAAAAAAAACGTTTTTTTCATGAAACAGTGATAAAATTATCATTTGTAAATTTTCCAAAAGTTGTTTTATAGAAAATTTGAAAAGTATTTTCTTCAGAAGATTTGTAAAGTAAAATTCTATTGATTGGCGTTTTTGGACTTTAATTTAATCTATAAATGATAAAATTACAAGTGTTCAAAACCTAACATTATTTCACCACACATATTTTTCGATTGGCACCCCAGTAAAGTCGACAAAGTCGTAATTCTACGTAAAAAGAAAGAAAAAAAATGATGATGATTAACTAGATTAGCAAACAAAAACGAAATGGTTACAGTTACAGATGCAAATCCTCTCGACACTTTTCAGCGATTTAAATACGAAAAAATTTAGACGTCGTCAGGCAGAAAACTTGCTAACTAATGAGGACAAGTAGTGTTTTCGATGTCAATAAATTAAGTAAGAGCTTATTAGAAAATGTTGGAGATGCTGAACTTCTAACCAAATATTTATTAAACCCGAAACTAAATTAAACATTCTCTTGGCTTTACTTTTTGTTTTCAATTCAAAATCACCATGCAATTTTATTCACGATTCCCAGGATATGAACTCCCTCCCTCAGTCGATAAAAGCGCAGCTACAACGCAAGACCATGCTGGAGGTGGCTGGGTTCGATTCCCGGTCTGGTCTAGGAATTTTTCGGGCTGGAAAATTTCTCGACCTTCCTGGGCACAAAGTTATCATCCTAATGCAATTATACTAATGCAAAAATGCTACCTGCATCGAAAACTCTCAATTAATGATTGTGGAAGTGAATCTAGCATGATTGACTGCTCATGGTTGCTACTATGGGATTTCCAAATCAGCTGTAATTAAACAGAGAACCAATAGATGATACTGATGCTGCTCAATATGTAACAACTGGTGATCTCAAACTAGACAATACCAGCGCCAGCCACGCCCGACCGCAGGTCAAGAAAGGAATAAGTAGGAATGTGTTGCCGTGACCGTCGCTTTGATGGAAGCCGAGAACACCTCTGCACTTCCACGAAGAATCACGATAAGATGGTTGGGTTTGCAGCAGGGTTTAATTTGATAAACGATAAGCTGAATTGATGTTCTAACGATTATATAATGCGAACGAGCTTGGGATTAAATCCATGGTCTTCTGCTCAGTAAGCAAAAACGTTTGCCATTAGGCATACGAGCCCCGTTTTAATCATCAAGTTGCTGTTATTACCATGTAGTCATATTAACAAACAAAAATATAGGCAAATCTTGAATGTGGATAAAAAGCAAAGCAAAAACTGACACACTAAGGTTACCGAGCCCATCATATCACATCATTCCGCTATTCAAGTTGTTGTAACCATTCAAACCCGGCACCGACGACGACGACAAGTTTCGCAAAATGCACCATAAATCTCTTTAATATGAATGTTCCTGGGACCGCGTTTTTCTACTCAGTAAACAAGCCACTGCAAGCGACGATCTTTCAAATCCGAAAGCTAAAAGCTACGAAAAAGCACTTAGGCCTTCAAATTCCACTGTCACGCGACGTTATTTTCGATATGAAATATACAACATATAAATTCATAACTGGAGTGGCTACTACTGGTAACAAATATCAACCGTTGTCAGAGCATGAGCATTGACAACCATACAATTTAGTAGTAGCTACTCCGTGATTGAACAGATCTAGAGAAATTTGCATGGAACATGGGATTAGCAATCCATGCTCAGTGTGAAAAATCCGATAAATCGTTACTTTTCAGGCCAATAACGGCGCCGGCCGTTCGTCGGGGAGGGAAAGTATTGTTAGTTCGACACACACTGCTACTAGAGACCGAATACACCTCTGCATATTGACGGTTGTCACAGGAAGGACGTATTTGTTAGAGGGAAGGGTGGACTAGATCTGGATTCACATAGGAAAGTGATGCGATGCATGGCCCAAGCCACACGGCTTGTCATAAAGAAGTTGAAAATACTTTTTAATGACTTACGTAAAGAATCAATAATACTGTAATATACATGATAACCTAAAAAGCGCAAGACGCGGAGCTTATACAACTAAATACTGGTCTTATAACCGCTTATAACTTTTTCGGAAACGCGGAACACGCGAGCACTTCGACGCATACACATCTCTTGAACGCGAACTCAAGAGCCTCATTAAAGCCAAAAAACGGGGTTACTGGCGGCAGTTTGTAGACGGATTGTCGCGCGAAACGTCTATGAATACGCTTTGGAGAACGGCGCGAAGAATGCGTAACCGGTCTACTAACAACGAAAGCGAGGAATGCTCGGATCAATGGATTCTTAAATTCGCGCGAAAAGTGTGTCCGGATTCTGTGCCGTCGCAGTTGATTCCTCGCGAAACCGCGAATTCGGTAGAAGACATCAGTCAGCCTTTGGTGGAACTTTCACTCGCTCTCCTTTCGTGTGGCAATTCTGCCCCGGGATCTGATAGAATCAAGTTCAACTTGCTGAAAAACCTCCCAGACGTCGCTAAGAGGCGCATGTTGAACTTGTACAATCAGTTCTTGGAGCTCAATATTGTTCCCGATGATTGGAGACGAGTGAGGGTGATAACCATTAAAAAGTCTGATAAACCCGCGTCGGATCACAATTCGTATCGGCCCATCGCGATGCTGTCGTGTATTCGGAAAATGATCCTTTTTCGCCTCGACAAATGGGTTGAGACGAACCACCTTCTTTCAGATACTCAATTTGGTTTCCGTAGGGGTAAGGGAACGAACGACTGTCTCGCGTTGCTTTCCTCGGAAATTCAGTTGGCTTTTGCTAAGAAAGAGCAAATGGCTTCTGTGTTCTTTGATATCAAGGGGGCTTTTGATTCACTATCCGTTGAAGTTCTTTCAGAGAAACTCCACGCTTGTGGATTGTCTCCATTAATGAATAATTTTTTGTACAATTTGCTGTCAGAAAAACATATGAGCTTTTCTCATGGAAACTCTACAGCTTTTCGATTTAGCTACATGGGTCTCCCCCAAGGCTCATGTTTAAGCCCCCTTTTGTACAATTTCTACGTTAGAGAAATTGACAATTGTCTTAGTGACAATTACACGTTGAGACAACTTGCAGATGACGGCGTAGTGTCTATCACAGGGCCAAAAGAGGTTGACCTGCAAGGACCCTTACAGGATACCTTGGACAATTTGTCTACTTGGACTATCCAGCTAGGTATCGAATTTTCCACGGAGAAAACTGAGTTGGTCGTTTTTTTTCTAGGAAGCATAGCCCAGCACAACCGAAGCTTCGACTTTTGGGTAAGCCGATCACTCATTCCATGTCTTACAAATATCTTGGGGTCTGGTTCAATTCCAAATGCACCTGGAGATCCCACATTGAGTATCTGCGACGAAAATGCCAACTAAGGATCAATTTCCTTCGATCAATTACCGGAACGTGGTGGGGAGCCCATCCACAAGATCTTCTGACGTTGTACCGGACAACGATTTTATCGGTTTTAGAGTACGGTAGTTTTTGCTTCCAGTCGGCGGCTAAAACGCACATCATCAAACTGGAACGGATCCAGTATCGCTGTCTTCGTATCGCATTAGGATGCATGCACTCGACTAATACTATGAGTCTCGAAGTGCTGGCGGGCATGTTGCCACTATCCGTCCGTTTTTCAGAGTTATCTCTGAGGCTCCTCACCCGTTGCGAAGTAATGAACCCACTGGTGATTGCAAATTTTGAGAAGCTTCTGGAGCTAAATCCTCAAACATGTTTTATGACTTTGTACTACCTGTATTTAACACAGGATGTCAGCCCTTCAAGAAATATTCCCAATCGTGTAGTCTTCTCCGATTTCGGCAATTCAGTGAATTTCGATTTATCTATGACGCAGGAAATCCGCGGAATTCCAGAGCATCATCGTCCTATGATTGCTCCGTCATTACACTCTGCAAAGTTTGGCCATGTTGATGCTGCAAGTACGTTTTTCACAGATGGATCTCTAATAGAGGAGTCCGCTGGTTTTGGTGTATTTAATGAATTTCATAGCGCCTCTCGAAAACTTGAAGCTCCATGTTCTGTATATGTGACTGAACTGGCAGCAATTCACTACACTTTGGAAACTATTGCTTCACTTCTTCCAGACCACTACTTTATTTTTACGGATAGTCTCAGTTCTGCCGAGGCTATCCGTTCCATTAGGCCGGTAAAGCACTTCTCGTATTTTCTCTTGAAAATACGAGAGCTGCTTAGTTCTTTATCTGTACGCTCTTTCATCATCACCTTCGCGTGGGTCCCTTCGCATTGCTCAATTTTGGGCAATGAGAAGGCGGATTCACTTGCGAAGGTGGGCGCTATGGAAGGCGACATTTATGATCGACAAATAGCCTATAGTGAATTTTTCTCTATTTATCGTCAGCAGTCACTCGTTTGCTGGCAACATCAATGGAGTGAAGGGAGCCTGGGACGATGGCTACATTCAATTATCCCTAAGGTGTCGAAGTTTGCATGGTTCAAAGGGTTGGACTTGGGTCGAGACTTTATACGCATGATGTCTCGTCTCATGTCCAATCACTATTGTCTAAACGCTCACTTGTTCCGTGTGGGGTTGGGAGACAGTAATCTCTGTGAATGTGGACAAGGTTACCAGGACGCTGATCACATCCTTTGGTCTTGTGCGGAGTATCGTGGAGTCAGATCACAATTTTATGATTCCCTTCGGGCTCGAGGTAGACAACCTAATGTTCCAGTTCGGGATATTTTGGCTAGACGCGATCTGGAGTTCATGAAACTCATATATGTTTACTTTAAGGATATTAACCTAAGATTGTAAGTTTGATTAACCTTGTGTTTAGTTTGTATTTTGTACGTGTGGGTTTTTTTTCAATGTTTGTTTTCAAGATTAATAGAAGTAATTTCATGCTTTAGGATTAATGAAATAGTTGTATCGTAAACCACACTTCAAACCTCCTTATTCCCTTTTCCGATCCAAAAAATTGTAAATCTCCACTAACCTCGAGACAACCGCGAGTACTTGGTCCAGTTCCTTTAACTTTAAATATAAGACAGTAATAATGTATAACGCAAAGGATAACTCGGCTCTGTGAAATTTATTCGATTGAGCCTGTACAAATAAAGTAATTATAAAAAAAGGTGTACGCATGGATGTGAGAAAGGAGATCCCCTCCCAACAAACAATGAAAGCTGTATAATAGCTTATTAAGCAAAAAAATTGCTTCTTCAGCTAAAAATGGCTTATTAAGCTTTTAATCAACTCGAATTGTTTGTTGGGCTCTTTTTTGCATTTTCGAATAAAATTTTACTATACAAAAACATTAGAACCCATTGTTACAATTCCATAACATTTATTGGAGCATCTATAAATCTTATAGTCAAAAACAATAAAAATAAATTAGAACTTATTATTATCCATAATAGAATCTATTATGAACGAGACGTTAACTATAGAAAAGGAGGGTTGCTAAATATCGTAACCATAAAAGAATCTATTTTGATTCGATTATTATATGATTGAACAAATTTGATCTCATTACAATATTTTTTTTTTGTTAAATATTTTAATATCACAGAATTTCTTGTATTGAGTTGTAAGAAAATAAATAAATAAATAAATACTGCTTTTAATCTCACCAAAACAAATCTTGAATTTAACGTGTTTATTTTCCGCTGCGTTTAAAAAGAAACGGGTAAGTATGACATATCTAAGAATGAATTGTTTGTTTTTTTTTTTTAATATACAATAATGGAAAAACGGTTCGAAGCTGGTAGTTTCCAGCAACGTTTGAAAATGGTCTAAATAATTGACAATCATTATTATTATTATTATTAATTCGCATTATTTTGAGAACGGCTGGCCTTTGGGAAAAAGTTCAGAGGTGCCAATTATGCGTAGAATATTAATAAATTATTATATTACTAAAAAAATATGCAATTTCGTCAACTTGTTAAAATGAACAAATATTTTAAAATAATAAAAGTTTTTTTTTATTAAGTTACCAGCCTACACTCTTCACCAAATTTTAGAACATTTCTTCAGCTTTCTTGACAATAAAAAATATGTATATAAAGGGGAATGCTTTTAGATAATTAACGTTTTACGCTTTAACTAAGGTTTTTCTTTAAATGGTTTTTCCTCAAAGATAATTTAATTACCTACAACTTCTTCACATATGTCATATTGATCAAATCAATAGTTTCAATGTTATGATTTTAATACGGCTTTTTTAAAAGTTACTGTGAAGAAAAACTCATGTTATAATGAAAATTGCAACCATTGGTAGCAGCGAACAAGTGAGCAATGATTCATTGAGCTCGGAAGGGGTCGAGACTAAATGTATATGCTTTTGAGCGTTTTGGGCTGGAATGCTCTACATATATGATCAATATTTGTTTTATAACGCTTCGATAGTTGCGCTTTTTAGTTGTATAAAAGTATGAAATGAAGTATTTTCACATATAATTTAAACTCCTTTATGACAAGTTGTGCTACTTGGGATTCAGCTGTAGTAGAGGAAATGGATATAATGTCGGCCTAAATGCCCCTAATTGGGCCAAAAATAGTAATAAGTACCGTCTCAATGACGCGTTCATCTCGATAAAATTTATAAATAGCATATTTTTAGCGATGGGCCCAATCTTAGATCCATAGGCCAACATTAACGCCTTTTCCCCTATCTCTCAGATTTCAATTAATTTGTCTTGCCAACAGGAACTTTTGGAGCTCCAGCAACTCTTAAAAATTTTGAGACTCCAAGGAATTTTGATACTCTGTAGTATGAGTAAAATTTGGCTTATTTTCAAATCCAACATCTTAACAATTTAATTCAGAAATATTAGGATTTATTTTTCTAGAGGAAGCTTAGCTTTACGATAAAATATCACGCCTTCATATAATTCCAAAACATCAATTCACTTTTTAAGTCATCCATGAATATTTGCACAACTGAACAAAATGAAAGCAGATTACAAAGATAAGGCCAGTAGTTTACCGGTGATTTTCATGAACAGGTTTGTCAGAGCATACTTTTGTTTTAACACCTAGCAAGCTCCTGCGAAATTTATTGATCGACCGAAATCTGCCTCATTCCCCAGAACAAGTTCCTTTTCCCCGTTACAACCTGCAGTGCATCAGGATTCAATGACCCTTTCTCGATTCACCAATCCTTTTTCTCACCTCATACCCGCACTTCCCTTCGCCACTCCATGCCGCTTCCGAGTTCTCCCGATAATCATCGCGTTGACCCCTGCGGTAGAACCCGTTTCCATTGCGCCATCGCTGTTGTCTCCTCGGACTGGCCGAACCGCTGTCCACAACAAAGCAAACGATCACCACCACGGCCAGCGCAAGGATCGTCGGCCTAACGGAACCGATCATCTTTGAATTGCAAATGATCTTCTTATCTAAATGGCTTTTCTTCAGAACATCACTCTTTTTAGTAAGATTTCTTTACACACTGCCTGGAAGAAATTTAAATCTTCGAGCGATACGGTTCTCTCCGCTAAACGCAAATCTTCTAACCTCGGAACAAAGGTTTCAAACTGCCATCAATTGATAATGATGCTGGAGGATGAACACGAATAGAGTTGAGGCACAACAACGCAAAATTGAAAGAAAAATACACAAGCGATAAAGATCAGTTCAAGCCGGACGTGAAAGGTAAAGACGACGTGGAAGCAGCCGTCGGATGCGAATAGTCACTGTAGACTGATGTAGGCATACTCGAGCGGTGAGCTTTTTCCCTTTCGCAATTTGATCGCTCTCGCTCTCTCCGCGTTCTATTCGCTCGGGTCATCCGGCTTGGCTCACTAGAAGAAGGCAAATCGCCCATAGTTCAATATGAAATAATCAATGCGTGCTGAGGAGCAGCTAATTGGGTTCGATATTCCAAATTTCATCAAATTTAGTGCACTGGAACTATTTCAAATAAGTGTGATTACATTAGAAAAAAAAAATCGTCATCTTAGCGCCCCTCGGTGCGACTTTTCTATGGTAGCGAGCTGTCAATTTGTTAGTTTAGTATCAAAAAGCGAAGTTATTATTTTGCTTTAAATCTTGATTTAAAAATCTAGATGAATGTCTATGGGAGCGGAAAAAATATCACTGTGCTCAGAAAGCGAAGCTCTTTCAGATGATTTATAAGAAACGATATATTTTCAATCTTGAAAAAATTAAATTCGAGTCGACGATGTGATTTCTTTATGTGCCGCTTATATTTTAACCTTCCTGTTTCCACCTCAGGGAGATAGAGGCAAACTTATGCTCGATCACCAATTTTATGCCGATCAACGAGAGCGAGCGAGCATCATACTCTTTTGCTGATATGCCTCCCGTATGAGTTTCATCTTCTATTTACGTTGTGTGAAAGCACTAAGGATTAATAAGAGAATGTTTTTCTTTTGCAATATAACTGCTCTATTTCATAACAAAATCACCTGAGAAGTGTGCTCATACCCTCAAAGATGTTCAAGTAGCTTCTTGAGGGAAAAGAAAACACTTCACTCGATTGCCCTAAGCCTTCTCTCAATTGAAGAAACCCAGTAGTAGTACCCGAGCAGGCACGAATATCTCGATACCTTAAATTGGTATGGATGAGCCCGACATAAGAGGTAAAATACCAAAGAATAACACCAAAACAATGTTCCCACAGTATCATTCCAATACAAAATTTAGTAAATGCAATACCAAAACGACACCCTTCAGGTATTTTTTCGGGATCAAAAAATCAAAATTGGTTATTTTGATGGTATTATTCTTCGGTATTTTACCTCTTATATCAGGCTGATAAATACAAAATTCTGGTATCACCAGCAGAATAAGTTATTGATAAGTTATTTTCTCCTGCTCGGGTAGCTGGCTCTTCAGTTCAAGTTCCTTCGATGGAACAAGAGTTATTGACCGCACCGATAAGACGGCTCCCCATTAAGCATTTAAACATTCATAAACAATCATCGCGAATCCACTTCGATCACTCTCAATCAACCACGATCATAATTGTTCGCCTCCCGACCCAGCTTAACAACAACATCAACGACCAGCTGATAACAATTGCTGTCCATTTCTCACGTTTCCATTCCAATACCCTTTTGACTGTTTGTTGTATGTGGTCGCCAGAAGAAATTTCGATTCATTTCACTTTCCTCCGAACGTGCGTGTGAATCTCCGAACATTCATCTCAACCGGCTCTCACCCAATGTCGCCTTGCCGCATGATTTCAGAAACCGTTGACTCCTCGGGGGAGAGACCAGAAAGTCAAAAATATTGTCCATTAATCTGTCATGCTTTACCCCGTAGTTTTATGTTTACTCTCACCCAAAAAAAAAAAAAAAAATACCAGCTCGTCAAGTGCCTCAATTAGGTAAACGCGACTTTCATTGATATGAATGTATAAAAATTCGTTTTGTGTGTATGCTCGCCTTGTTTGTAGATTCAATTGCTGAGTTTCGAGATGGCGACGAAGAAAAAGACAAGATCAAATTAGAGGAGAAACAATGCTATAATTAAACAAAAAATGCTGTCGGATGCAGCAGCAGTAACATGGCATATGAGATTGGTGCAGGGGGAACAACTGGCAGTTTTAACGATGTAAATTTGAAATTATCACATCAAGCAATGTGATAGCATGATATTATGATAGCATAATGCATGCTACACTTGTTTGTAGAAAGTATTTCCTTTGTGTTTCGATTGCAGACAATTTTTCTTTTGGAATTGATATTGTTGTTGTTGATATTGATAGTGATTTTTCGCATACCTACCTGAGCACTACACAATTTTTATTGTAGATTAAATGCATTAGAATTTAATTTGAAGTATAAAACAGATTTGTGCCAGCTTGATAAGGATAAAAATAATTTTAACTTCAAAACTCAAATAAACTTGGAGTTCAATTTCGAACCCCTTCGGATACGGTTGTGTTTTAAGTTTGCTCTCTGTTTTGTGCGTGCGTTCGCTTTAGTAGTTTTCGGCTGCTTTTGCCTGATCGGCGCTGGCACTCTGCCTCTGGACGGTGAGAAAACGTGATTCAACATGTTTGCAAGCATCAGAAGAGATGTCGTTATCTGCGTTGTTTTTTTTTTTCTTCGCTTGTGCTCCCGGAACAGAAACTTGAGACATCGCTAGTGATAGTTTTTAATTTCAATCTTAATTAGTTTTGTGTCCCGGGCGCAATATTTTGATTTGGAATGGTTTTTTTGCTGATGTCTCCCCCTGTTGCTTAGGTGCCTGGTGTGCTGCCGCTTCAAAAAAAAAAAAACTACAAGGGACAGCCCTATGGGGTTGTACGCAGTGGTGACGTAGGACGTGGTATTATATAATAAATCTTATTTGTTAACTGCAGGCTAGTCTTATTTGTTAACAGGAGCTTGTGTTTTGTGTAGGAATAGGAATTTGAGCGGGGTTCTCTCTGTTTATACTCTTTAGTATGACGCGCTTGACATAGATGCCCCTTAGCGACTCACGAAGAGCTACTGATTTCAATCAATAGCGGTGCGGCTTCTTCCTCCTTCTATGGATGAAGGAAGTCTTTCGTTGTGTACTGAAGAACAATGTTCAACGCCACGTGCCGAAACCACTGCTGCTGATGCCGACGACCGGACACCACCACACACGGTGATTGGAACTGAATCCGATTAGCGGTTGAGGTCAGCCTTGATAGCTAGCTGCTGGCGGGTAGCCTTTCATTGTGTACCGGAGATCACTACCACTCATCACGCGGTGATTGCATAAACACCGTTTGGTGAGATCGGATTGAAATCAACTTTGAAATCTATTTTAGGGAAATCGCTTTTCGTAGGCAATCGGTGATAATTTTAATTATCATAGCAACAGTTGCACATTCGTGCATTTTCCAATAGTAAAATTTTGAAAAATGATAAAGTCTAAAATTTAACCGATGCGTAGGAATATTTCTGATCGAATGGTGGTAAAATTATTGAAATTGGTCCAGGGGCAGCTGAGTTATTAACGTTCAAAATCTTTCATAATGTTGTTTTTCGGTTTTCACAAAGTGTAACCCCATATATAAATCACAGACGTAGTCCTACGTAAAAAAAATACACACACACAGGCGAGGCGAAGGACAAAACGTCCTACGCAGCACTTCTCCGGAATGTGAGAGAGGATCCAGAATTGAAACAACTAGGCAAGTACGTGGTGAAAACCAGGCGAACCCAGAAAGGCGAGATGCTATTTGAGCTGAAAAGGGTTAAGAGCGCAGCTTTAAAGGAGCTCGTCCGAAAATCTCTTGGTGGGACGGCGAACGTAAGAGCCGTATCCTAGGAGTCAGTGGTCGAGTGCAGGGATCTGGACGAGATCACAACAGAAGACGAGTTGAAAAGTGCGCTGAAGGTGCAATGCAACCTGGGAGACGTACCGATGGCAATTCGGTTGAGGAAGGCGTATGGTGGCACGCAGACGGCGTCGATACGACTTTCTTCGGACGCAACTAACGAGCTGCTGAAGACTGGACGAATCAAGGTTGGGTGGTCAGTGTGCCCGTTGAAAGCTATTCCTCGGGTATCTAAGAAAATGGAGAGATGCTACAAATGCATGGGCTTCGGTCACCAAGCGAGACACTGCAAAGGCCCTGACAGATCTGATCTGTGCAGAAAATGCGGAGAGAAGGGGCACGTTGCAAAAGACTGTACAAAGCAACCGAGGTGCATGCTCTGCAAAAAGGAGGACGGAAATGGCAATGTGACGGGAAGTTTCAGGTGCCCTGAGTTCAAGAAGGCGATGGCGGGCCAGCAATAATGAAGGTAACCCAAATAAATCTCAATCATTGTAACACAGCACAGCAACTGTTGTGGCAGTCAACAACGGAAACAAAGTGCGACGTTGCAATCATTGCAGAGCCATACCGAGTCCCTCTCGATAATGGTAACTGGGTGGCGGATAGAGCAGGAATGGCGGCCATACAAGTCATGGGCAGGTATCCCATACAACAAGTGGTGGCAAGCTCATATGAAGGTTTTGTGATCGCCAAAATTAATGGAACCTTCGTATGTAGTTGCTATGCACCCCCGAGATGGACAATGGAGCAGTTTCACCAGATGCTAGATGGACTCACCGGGGAGCTCACCGGACGGAGACCAGTCGTCATCGCAGGAGACTTCAATGCTTGGGCAGTGGACTGGGGAAGCAGATGTACCAACGCAAGAGGGTATAGCCTGCTGGAAGCTCTGGCAAAGTTGGACGTCAGTCTGGCCAACGAAGGAACCATCAGCACCTTCCGCAAAGGTGGTAGGGAATCCATTATCGACGTCACTTTCTGCAGTCCGTTGTTAGTGGCAAGTATGAACTGAAGAGTGTGTGAGGAGTACACTCATAGTGACCATCAGGCGATTAGGTACAGCTTTGGCCAACGGATACCTACGGCAATGTGGAAAACGAAAGTAAGCAAGCGGAGGTGGAAGACGAAGACATTCGACAAGGATCTCTTTGTAGAAGCTCTCTGGGTAGACAGCAGCGTCCCAGACCAAAGCGCGGATGAGTTGACCGAATCGTTAGCGAGGGCATGCGACACAACCATGCCGAGGAAATCGGAGCCAAGGAACCGATGGCGCCCAGCTTACTGGTGGAACGAGGCACTTAGCACCCTCCGCGCTAGTTGTCTCCGAACCAGAAGGCGCGTTCAGCGGGCAAGAACTGATGCAGACAGAGCAGAGCGAAGGGTGGTGTTTCGAGCA